TATTGATAATTTTTTATAAATAGGTACAAAATGGTTATTTTTACAAAAAAAATGTATTTTACACTTTTTAGTGTTTTTTTTGGGGGTGTCCATTATTTTCCCATAGCTGGATACACATGAAGTTTGAACTAAACATATTCAACCAGGGTCAAGAAGTTTGGACTTGAGAACGAAATAATAATTAAGAGGTGGTAAAAATTTCTCAAATTTTTAACCTTTTTTGATCAGATGCCTTATTTATGGATGTAGTTTATATAACGTTTCAGACCCAGGACTATTCTTTCATAGACAAATGTGTGTAAAGCAGAGATGAAGAATTCACAACTAAAATAGAGGCCAATTAATCTGCTCCCTTTATATTTTCAATGTTATCTATGATTCATTGATTACTTCTGGTATTATCTTAATGGTTTTTCTCAATATCATTTTATGTTAGAAATTTTTTTTTTTAATATAAATTTTTTTGAAATATTTTCGAAGAAAAAAAGATTAGCAATAAAACGACAAACACGGATACGACAAAGCCTATTTCAAGACTAAGGTGAAGTAAGACGATCACTTAATAGATTTGGTATAAGTGCTTTTTGAAAGCATTTGAACGAATAGGACTGCAAGAAAGAAAACGTAGGAATAAAGGAACTGGTTAATTAAACGATTCATGTCGAAGAGCACATTTTCTTTATTAAGATTTCTCGAGTGTTGAGTCACGGTGGAGTAATGGATAGTGGCTCGGATTGAGGAATCGGAGAGCCGAGTAAGAATTCCAGTCAAATCCATTACATTCACTTACGTGCTTAATTAATTTTGGGGAATGGTATGAATCCTCTTCTTCTTCCCCCCAGCTATTGGGTAAAACAGCAGGACAGAAATTTGTTTTTTGTGGATTTGGATTTTAAATTGATCTACAACAGAAAGAAATGGCAACGTACTGCGGGGGAAAATCTGCCTCATCAGTCATGTAACTAAATGCTGAGAGATGTAATACATCTTTTATGTGCCGTGCCCTGATCATAGCCCTCCACATCTTCCTGACTGTTGTACCTCTTAATATGTTTTGTCTTTTTATTATTTCTCCCAAAACCTGTTCTACCATCTATTTACTCATGCTCATCAAGTATGTTACGCGATGCTTTCCCCTGTCCCTCTTTCCGATCTGTCTTATGAGTATCAGATTTTCCAAGCCCTCTTTCCTCATTTATAGAAAAGATTTTTTATCTGCCTCTTATTTGATGTTAAGTATAAGTTTGCTTTTTGCTTTCATATTGTTTTTAGAACCTCATCGTTTTTAACATGTTTTTGGACCCATCCTTCTGAAGAATGGCGAAACAAAATTTCAATCTCTTCATGTTTTTTAAAAGATTATGATTCTTTTTGGGACTGATTGAAAATCTCATCCCCTTTGATATGTAATTGATGCAATACTTGATTGAATAAATTGATGAGCACATTTCAACATTGATATGACAGTTTGAATTGTCGTAAAAATATGTATAAAAAAGGAAGTTACCCACTGATTGGTGATTTCTTGCTCAATTTTGGCGTCCTTATTGGCTCATTTCGAATTGCCGAAATGACCTCCATCTTCTGGCTTTTCCAAAATATTTTGATAGAAATCAAATTTCTTGTTCAAATTTAAATTTTAATCTAAATCAAAGTGAAAAAAATTTCAGTGGTGGGGTTGCGACTCCACCACGGGATCCCCTTTGATCAAAATGAAATACGAGTCAGTTATATGCCATGCGTGATACACGCTTAGTGATCATGTATCGAAAGATACATAACTGACGAGGCAGATTTTTTTCCCGAAGTAGGTTGCCATTTCTTTCTGCGGTAGACCAGTTGCCATCCCTTTGTTCTGCTATGGGGGTGGGGAGAAGAAAAGGATTCATACCAAAGGGTATTAGCACATAAGTGGATTTGACTGGAATTCGAACTGTTTCTCCATTTTCTCAATCCTATTTGCTATCCATTATTTCCACCGTAAATTAATTTTTTGAAAATGAAGTTTATTTTACTTTCCTGGGATACTCTCTTGTTCAAATTTATATTCAATTCATACCAAAGGGAAAAAAAATTTCAGTGATGGTTTGTGAGACTGACCACCTTTGATCGAAATGAAATATACTTATTCAAGTACCCAGGTAATGTAGTTTCAAAATATATATGGCTAGTGGGGGGCGCCTATCTCCAAAACCCTAGGAAGAGTTCGATAACAAAGAAACAAACAGGCTACAACGTTTTATATATAGATAAGTAATCTTATATTGCCATTTTTAATGGCAAATCTACCAAAAACAGAGAGTATGTATTAACAAAATTAATTTTATTTGCCTATATAAGTAGTTATATATAGCAATTCCTGATGGTAACATTGGTGAAAGCATAGATGGCATTATGAATGGCTTCAAATATCTCGGGTGACAATGAACATTTTCAAACAAAAGAGGGTGAAATTCGTTCACTCAGGAAAAAGTAATAAAAACATTGAGAGAAAAATAAACTGGAATGTCAATTTATTAATTGAATTATCAAAACGTCAACTGTCATGAAATAAAACGAAAGCGGAAGTTCAAATTTAAAGGCTTCCGGAAGTAGTAACTCGAGGAGCGAAAAAAAGCAATCATTTTGACAGAGAAAAAAAAACATCACCAAATGGAAAACAGTCAAGGCTGCTGACTTAATAGCTATAAAATTTGAAAATGAGCGATGATAAAATAAAAAAAACTACATTGATAAAACGAAGGAAAAAATAGTAACAAACAAATCAGGAAAAATGCCTCATCTATATATAAAATTCTGTGATTTCTGTCCGTCACACCCTCTAAAATAGTCATATATTGACCGATGTGAAAATGGTGTACATTGTACAGCTAGTTTTACTAATCAGTTGCGTAATAGTTTTAAAAAAATTTTCATTCATTTTTTTCAAAAAATTAAAAGTTTTATTATTTAACATACAAAATACTCCCACTCGTCTATATATAAAATTCCGTGACTTCCGTTAGTCGGTTCGTCACAACCTCTAAAATAGCCAGACCTTGACCAATCGAAACCAAATTTTGGGGAGAAGTACAAACAGGTAAAGCGGTACAAATTACAGTATTTTTTACTAGGGTGCATAGCTTAGTACAATAAATTTTGATCCTTTTTTGGAAAAATTAAGTTTTATTATTTAACATACAAAATACTCTCACTAAAACAAAAACAATTTAATGATTGACATAACAAATACTTATTTAATAACAATGCAATATTGTTTTATGCATATCTTCTCTTTAAGTTTTTAAATACAAGAATCCAGTTTCCAGTTCGTCCTGCGTTTGCGAGAACTATAAACAAATCACAAGGCCAAATGCTTCAAAAAATTGGAATTTGGCTCCAGAAAGAAATATTTATACATGGCCAGTTGTATGTTGCACGCTTAAGGGTAAGAAATCCTACGAATTTTTTCTTCGCTGTTAAAAAGTAAAAAATATTGTTTACCATGAAGTCCTATAAAATTAAATTAAAGAAATTATTAAACAGCTAAGTAGGGTTTTTATCAAAGTATTTTTCTAAATAAATCAACTTATTCAAATTTCATTGATTGGTTTTAAAATTGAAGAAACGTAGAGTTTGTAAATCTCGACAAAAAATGTTAGCGATATCTTCAACAAGAGGAAATAGAGTTCCTGGAAAGAGAAAAGAAACTCAAAAATTTCTTATGGTTAAATCTTTTCTATTTCAACAATAAACGATGAGATCTATTTGCCAATGAAAATTTAAAAAAAAAAAGCAAGTCATTGTGTGTAAACTGTGTGTGTGTGTTGTGTGTGTGTGTGTTGTGTGTGTCTCTCTCTCTCCAAATTTGTGTTTTCTCTCTCTGTCTTTCTGTGTGTGTTGTGTGTCTCTCAACGAATCTCTCTCTTCTCTGAAAAATTGTGTACCTCTCTAAAAACAAAAATTCCTCTTTGTGTGTGTGTGTCTCTAAACATCTTTCTGTGTGTTCATTCCTCTCTCTCTGTCTTTTGTGTGTGTGTAATCTCATCTCTCTCTCTGTGTGTGTGTGTGTCTCTCTCTCTGTCTTTTCTGTGTGTGTGTGTGTGTGTCAATCTCTCTCTGTGTGTGTGTGTCTCATCTCTCTCTCTCAAATTTGTGTGTGTGTGTCTCTCTCTCTCTCTCTCTGTGCGTGTGTGTATGTCTCTCTCTGTCTTTTTGTGTGTGTGTGTGTGTGTGTGTGTGTGTTTGTGTGTGTGTGTGTGTGTGTGTTAAAATAACAGGCAAAGAAAAGAGAGACAGATTTGATTTATGATTTCATAAATAAAGAAAATACGTAAATATCCAGACAAAAATAAACCTATATTATGATTTTACATTTTTTTATATATTTACTATATATCTGAGCGTGGGAAATTATAAGGTTACAATTGATAGATAGATAGATAGATAGATAGAAGATAGATAAAAAATGATAGAACTGAATTTAAAGAGATTATAAAAAGCTAAGCTAGCTAGATATAGAAATAGATAGATAGATAGATGATAGATTTTTTTTTCGTCTCATATTTTTGAATCCATCCCATTAATGAGTTTAAATCTAAAATATTTGTTTTTGCAAAAGATAAAAATACATTATTAAATTTTTTTTTTAAAAAAAGTTATCAAAATCTACGATAAAATATTCTAATTAATTTTTTTTTCTTTTTCTAAAGAGTGCGAACAAAGGGAGATCACTCACGCATGTGCAAAATATCAAAATAATGTAATATTTTTTCTTAAGATTTTTCCCTATTATTTAAAAAAAATGTAATTATGCCTGCTTTCCATTATTTTTTTATTATTCTATCTGTAACATTGGTTTATAAATAATTTCCAAGGATTCAAAAGAACTTGGATTAAAATTTAATAAAACGTATTCTCACGTTTCTTTCCTGTCTTTTACTCCATTTATTTCCTTCTTTCTTTATTTGCTGAATTTATTTAAAGGAAATGTGTTTATTTTGTTTTCTTTAACAGAATCTATGCATTCCTTCTTTCTTTTCCTAAAAATGCCTTTCCTACTTAAACAAGTCATTTTTTTTTTTCCTTCTATCTATCTACCTCTTAAAAGGTTCTTTTCTTTCTTCTTTCTTTCATCAAAATTTATTTTTCATCCTTCTTCGTATTTTTTCTCTGCGCCATTTTCAATACAATTTTTTCCTTTCTTTGTCATATTTTCTTTCTTCTTTTTTTCTTTCTTTGCAGATTTTCTTTCTTTAAAAAAATTTTTTTATGTTTCAATATTTGAATTTTTAAATTTTCTTTTATTTTTTTGTTTTCCTCGATTCAATTTTTTTTTTTTTCTTTTGTGCTCTAGTTCGTTCGTAAAAATCTTTCTTTTTTTTTAATGACAGTTTTAAATTTTTCTTTTCTTTTTTTTTTTTTTTTTTTTTTTTTTTGTTTTATATTTTTTATTTGAAATTTTTCTCATAAATCTTTTGGGCAAAATGAATTTAAATTCCTTTCTTTAGAATTATTTAAAAAAATATTTCTTTTTCAAAATTTCTTTCTTTTTTTTCAATCATTCAATTTCATTTCTTTGTTTATTCGTCAAATCAAATCTTTCAAAAATTTTTCTTTCGTCTTTTCCTGCTGAAAATTAGCATTATTTGAATTGAACATTTTTTCGTTACATTTTTTCTTTCTTTCTTTCTTTTGAGAATTTTTTTTAAATTTTTTATTGTTTTCCAGCCTGATTTCAACCTTTGTTTGGTTTTAAAAATTTTTTTTTCTTTTTTTTTTATCATCAAAATTTTCTTTCTTTCCAATGGAAAAAAAAATCAAATTTTGATATTTTTTTTTCTCGCTTTTTTTTTTTGAAAACATTTTTTCTTCTTGCTTTTTCGTTTTTCCATTTTTTTTTTTTTTTTTTTTTTCTTTTTTTTTCTTTTTTTATATAAATTTCTTTTTTTTCACATTGAAAATCTTTTTTTTTTTTTTATTTTTTATCTCATTCCTTGAAAAATTTTCTTGAATTTTTTTTCCAAATTGCGTTTTTTTTTCTTTCTAAACAATTTTTTTTCCCTTCTTAAAATTTTTTGATTTTGGATTTTCTTTGAATTCTTTGTTTTCATCATAATAAAATTTCATTTCTTGGTTTTAAAATCTCTCTAAATCTCTCTCTTCTCTCTCTCTCTTTCTCTTTCTTATATTTTTATTTCTTTTATTCTTTCTTTCCTAAAAAAGAGATTAATTTTTCAAAATTTTTCTTTGTTTTTTAATTTTATCATTTGTTTATCTTTTTTTTTTTTTTTTTTTCATAAAAAATTTCTTTTCTTTCTTTCAAATTTTTTCTTTTTTCTTAAAAAATTTTTCCTTTACTTTATTTTTCTAGCTTTAAATTTTCCCACATTTCCCTTCCTTCTTTCTTTTCGTCTTCCAACTTTTCTTTGTTTCTGTATTTTTCTTTCTTTCTCTCTTTCTTTCTTTCTTCCTTTGTTCTTGTCTTTTACTTCATTTTTTTTTTTATTTCCTCTTTTAATTTTTTCTTATTTTTTTTTTGAATCCCGCCAGGATTCATTCATTCTTCTTTCTGTCTCACCTTCTTTCTTTTTGAAAAAATTTCTTTCTCTCTTTCTTTCTTTGTTTTCAGCATTCAATTTCATTCCTTTATTTTCGTTCATTAATCTCTTTCATTTTTCTCTCTCTAAAAAAATCTCTATATAAATATATATATTTGTTTTTTTCTTTTTTCTTTTTTTTTATTCATTTTCTCTTCCTAGCATTCTTTCTTTATAATTTCTTTATTATTTTTCTTTCTTTGGTTTCTTAATTTTTCTTCCAGCCACAATCCAATCTTTCTTTATTTTTCTGCTTTCTTCTTTCCTCGTTCTTTCTTTTTCTGCTTTCTTCTTTCCTCGTTCTTTCTTTCTTCCTTTCTTTCTTTTTCATTTTCTTCATTTTCTCTGAAAAAAATTTGTCTTTTCTTTTTTTTTCGTTTTCCTTTTTTCTTTTTTTTCTTCAAATTTTTTTTTTTTTCTTTCTTTTTTTTTTTCTTTTCTTTTCTTAAATGTTATTTCTCTTCACACCCTCTCCTACAATTTTTCTTCCCTTCTTACATTTTTTCTTTTTTCTATTTGACTCAATTTTTCTTTCTTTCATTCATTCTTTCTTTCTTTCTATCTATTCTTTCATTCATTCTTTCTTTCTTTCTTTCTATCTATTCTTTATTTATTTATTTATTTATTTATTTCTATCTATTCTTTATTTATTTATTTATTTATTTATTTCTATCTATTCTTTATTTATTTATTTATTTATTTATTTGAATTTGTTATTTCTTAACACCCTAATTCTGTTTTTTCTTCATTTCTTCATTTTCTCTTTTTTCTATTTGACTCAATTTTTCTTTCTTTCTTTCTTTCTTTCTTTCTTTCTTTCTTTCGTTCTTTTCCTTTACTTTTTTTTTCCCTTTCCTATTTTTCCAAATTTGTCTTTACTTTCTTTTCGTTTTCCCCTTTTCTCTTTTTCTTTCTTTCTCTCTTTCTCGTCCTTTATTTATCTATGACTTTATTTTTTCTTTCATTCCCCTTTCCTCTTTTCTTAACTTCTTTTTTCCTTCTTACCTTCTTTCTCTCTTTCTGTCTCACCTTCTCTTCTTTCTTTTCACATTTTCTCTTTCTTTCTTTCTTTCTTTCTTTCTTTCTTTCTTTCTCCATTCCTTTCCCCTTCCTCTCATGTTTCTCTTCATTTTTCTCTTTCTTCCCTTCTTTATTTCCAGTCACTTTTTCATTCTGCTCGTGAAGAAAGACGCTGCTTTACGTTTGATCCTGTTCCATAATTATTAATTCGATACACCATTGTGAAATCTGTCGAGAACTCGACCAACGCATGCGCGCAAAAAGAAAGCTTTCTTTTTGGCATCATGACAATTTTCATTTAAACCTATTTATGGGAGGATGTTTGTTTTAAAATTAGAAGGAAAAGAAATGCTTGTCAAAATTAATAATAACCCTTGCCAATGATTTTTCTGTTAATGCTAAAATAAATGTAATAATATTACTGCTGAAACTATTAGTGTGAAAACAAATATGACGCTGGTAAATGAAGCAAAATTGGATTGATTATTCATAGGTTAAATTTAGTTTTCCTCATAGCATATTAGTTAAACAAGCTAAGCATTTACCAGTCTTCCCCGAGGCAAAAAGAAAATTGACCAAGTTTGAAACTCACTGAGAGTTTTCTTTTTATTTCGAATGGATGCTGACTTCACTGACATACATTGGCGCATTGAATAAAATTGCGACAAAAAGTAGTTAAGAATGAAAACGAAAATAAATATTAGAAAGAATTGATAACAATCGATAAGTTTTCATCTTAATAAAAAATGAAGATAATCAAAATTATTAAGATTAATGATTAATAAGGTTTCTTCCAAAATATTAAAAAGCTGAAAATACATAGTAGCCATAAATTAATAATAATGGCTGACAATGCTTCATCTAATAAAAATGAAGATGAAAGTAAATACTAATCAAAAATGAATAATAATGGCTGACAATGTTTCATCTAATAAAAAATGAAGATGAAAGTAAATACTGTTCAAAAATTAATAATAATGGTTGACAATGTTTCAGCCAATTAAAATTGAACATGAAAATAAATACAATTCGAAAATTAATAATAATATTACAATAATAATAATAACTGACAATGCTTCATCTGATAAAAATGAAGATGATAGTAAATACAAGTCAAAATGAATAATAATGGCTGACAATGTTTCATCTAATAAAAAATGAAGTTGAAAGTAAATACTAGTCAAAAATTAATAATAATGGCTGACAATGTTTCATCTAATAAAAAATGAATATGAAAGTAAATACTGTTCAAAATTTAATAATAATGACTGACAATGTTTCAGCTAATAAAAATGAACATGAAAGTAAATACAAATCGAAAATTAATAATAATAACAATAATAACAATAATAATAACTGACAATGCTTCATCTGATAAAAATGAAGATGATAGTAAATACAAGTCAAAATGAATAATAATGGCTGACAATGCTTCATCTAATAAAAAATGAAATTGAAAGTAAATACTAGTCAAAAAATTAATAATAACGGCTGACAATGCTTCATCTAATAAAAAATGAATATGAAAGTATATGCTAGTGAAAAAATTAATAATAAAAGCCGACAATAATTCAACTAATAAAAAATAAAGATGAAAATAAATTATCAAAGATTAATAATAATGGCTGACAAATCTTCAACTAATACAAATAAAATAAAATCTTACCACTTCTATTAATTATGGTATCTTTGTATCTATGAAGATAAAGAGTATATTAATTTACTGAAAGAATCAACGACAATGCATTCTATTCAGATTTTTTACACGGGAAATAACCATGTGCGGATAGATTATCAGATCGCAGTGTGTCTGTCGCTAAAAATGCTGATAATGATAACGATGAGTCATCCGAAATGGAAAAACAACCAAGCTGTTTATAATATTGACTATTTAAATATTTCACTCCAAATAATGTGCCAGCGGGGTTAGACTGTTTTTTTTATGTATTTATTGATTTATTTATTTAATTTTTTGCCTTTTGTTGAACTAAACGATTCAATGCAACAAGAAACTGAAAATAACAGCCTGAAGGGTTGAATTTTGAGCCTCAAAAATGAAGTCTTTGTTCTGGAGATTGTGTTATTTTGCAGGCGTGTAGCTGTTGGCCTTTACGTCGAAAAGCCTCTTGGGTGTTCGAATAAACATGAGATGGAAAGATGATATCGTTTTCTCTCGTTGAACATGGACACCTTTACTAATACCCCCAAACCGAGCGCTTTAAAATCTAAGCCATCGCTTAACGCTTTGCACATTACGAAGAAATGAAGAAATTTTCTCGATCCAACTAAGAAATTTTTTTAAATCTTCAGATTTCTTTGAATTTTTTTTCTTCAAACCTCTCTCTCTCACACACAGGCGGACAGGGGCGAGTCTCTTACTGCATTATCACTAATTCCATGGAAAGTGCTCGGACAAACTACATTCCTTAGCTCCACCATGTCAAACCTTTACGGCTAGGAACCCACTTACATAGTAGCAAACCACTCACATTCCCTTCTTATTCCATCGGCGTGAAGTTCCATTCAGACAGCCTCTTCCCGCGAAGCATACCATATGGAACAGACTCCCAAGAGGATATTTCCCCGATCATTACAATCTTAATCTGTTCAAATCTAGATTGGTTTCAAAATTACTAGTACGACTGTAGCTTAATTTAACTGTGGTTTTATTACATATTTTATGTAATTTTTGAGGAAGTGTTTATTAAGTAATTTAAAAAAGAAAATTGAAAGAGTAATTTGTTCTATATACACCTGATGAAGGCAAGAGGGTACCACGACCGAAACATTGTTATAAGCACAACAATTTTTGTTCCTGGTCCGGGTGTAAGCGCTCGGGTCCCTACCTTGAAAAAGACCTTGTGTCACAACTCGTCTTAGTGGGAAGACTGATCAAATACCTAGGGTAATGACTCAACATACAAATCCACGTCAGTCAAGCAAATTAGGTGACCGTCCAAGTTTACTTGGACGTTGCGTTACATTCGTCTTGGAAGACGCAGACGTAGTTTTCAGGGTATTTAGGGGGGAGCGTTTTGTAAGCCGTAATATACTGTAATAAATTACTACAGTTCAAAAGCGTCTCCGAGTCCTTTTTGGAGAAGATTGATTTTCAACCTTCAAACCTCTCTCTCTCTCTCTCTCTCTCTCTCTCTCTCTCTCACTCACTCACTCACTCACTCACTCACACACACACTGAATGCGTAGAGTCTCTTAATGCATCATCGCTAATTCCATGTAAAATGCTTGGACAAACTACATTCCTTAGCTCCACCAGGTTTAATCTTCACGGCTAGGTCCTACCATGCCACTTACATAGTATCAAATCACCCACATTCCCTCCTTATTCCTTTATCCTTAGTGGCATTTCATTAGGTAAAGAGGGGTGTTTGGCAACGCTCATATCTCCAAAAAATATTCTGTCTTCTGTGTCAGTCATGTATTGAAAGATATATTGTTGTGACCCAAGTAAATAGTTAAAGAAATAACAAAACAAGTGTTACAGATATATCATATATTAATCAGTAAGTACAACAGAAGAGTATTACACGACAAGTGAGTGTGTGTCGAATGGCCCAGGGTTCAATCTATTTGACTGTTATATTTACAAGCCTCCACACGAGGTAGGATGTGGCTCAAGGCCGAGTTTATTGTGCGGCAATCCGAGCCCGTAGGCTTGGCCAAAAATTTCCCATAGACCGCGTATAAAGCGGGGTCGGGTAGCTGTTTTCCGGAGGCAGAGAGTTTGACGAGGTAGTCTAGGCCAAAAATATTCCCTTAGAACCCGTATAAAAGGGTTCAGGGCCCGTCTACCTCCCCGGACGAAACTTTGCCCTTCGGCAAAGCCTCGTAAGAGTTCCTCTCTGCTCAAGACAGAGAGTTCGACGATTGAACAATCTGGTCAACTGTTATATTTAACAGTCCCCCCCCCATGAGTGATGTATGTGGCACAAAGCCGAGTTTACCGTGGGTTTTCCGAGCCCGTAGGCACGTCCAAAAATATTCCCTTCGAACCCGTATAAACGGGTTCAGGGCCTGTCTACCTCCCCGGTCGAAGCTTTGCCCAAGGCAGAGAGTTTGACAGTCATAAATAGTCTGATCGTCTGTTATATTTAACAGTTCCCCCACAAGGAAATGTATGTGGCACAAGGCCGCGTTTAACGTGGGTTTCTCCGAGCCCGTAGTCTCGGCCAAAAATATTCCCTTTGAACCCCCCTAGACAGGTTCAGGGACTGTCTACCTCCCCTGACGAAACTTTGCACTGCGGCAAAGCTTCGTCCGAGTTCCTTTCTGCCGAGGCAGAGAGTTCAACAGAAATGAACAGTCTGGTCGACTGCTCCCACAAGGCCTTCTCTCCTACTAATCTTATAGTAGGCGGAAGAGTCCAACATAGACTCTTTAGAGGGAGGACACAGCAACATATATAATCGCCTAAGAGTGTATCATGCATGGCACATAACTGACTGAGATTTATATACTTTATGTAGAAGTAAAATTAATTTAATGTAAATAAACTTGTATTTAACAACTAAATTCTATGGAACATTTATGTACACTAGTAAAATAACCCATAATAAACCCTTTTAAAATATGTGATTAATTAATAATTTAAAAAAATATGCAGATTTATTCACTAAGATCCCTGGGGTTGATGCTGCTGAGGAGGTTAATATATTTGTTATATATCA